ACGCTGACCACTGGCCGACGCGCTGCCGCCGCTGTGTGCGGCAGCGCGACCACGGTCGACCCCTTGCCGACCGTCCGGCAAACTCTTCCGACTAAACTGATTTCCTTAGACCTGTTATGACCTAACATGAACAATAAACTGAATTTAACAAGTAATGGCTGAACTTGCTTGCTGGGCCTAACCCCCGACCGTGGCGCTCGCTACGTGCGAGGCCTACGGCCTTCGGCTAGTCTTCGACCATACTGAACATCATTGAACTCAACATGTCCTACATGAACATACTTATCAAATATGACCTGAAAATGAAATATGGTACGCTGATCATGGAGAAGGCCGCGGCGGACGCGCCGTGCGCCGCCGACGGCTATACGCCGTCTCTCGGCCACAATACCTTATTCCTTGGTAACTTCCGAACAACATGACATGAACATCATTTTAAAACATAACCACACGAATAGAACATGCTGATTACTGAAGACATAAGATACGGCCCGAGGCCACCCGAGGCCACGCGATAGGCGTTGGCGACGGCTGGGGCCATTTCTCAACAATACTTCAATTTTACTCGACCAAACTGAACTTATTGAACATAAAATAGGCTGAGCTGAACAATTAAACATTAACAGTTCGGAAGTTGCCGGGAAAAAATCGAAAGTTGTTCGGTTATAAACTTACTTAAACAAGTTCGGCCTTAAACATGATTTTACTTGAAATTCTCGAAAATAATCCGAACACTTAACTCTGAAATAACCTAATCATCATGAATAGGAACTGAGGAGAGAATTACCTCTCGAAACACTCGACTGAAATTGGAGAATAAGGCGTGCTTCCTTTGCTTTGCGTGTGCGCCGTGCGTAGGCTTAGCTTTGCCGTGTGATTTGTAAGAAAATTAGGGAAATTGTTTAACGTAATTGCTGCTGAAAAGGGGCTTAAATATGCTGAAGATGTTGCTCAATTCTTAAGGGGAAAAAGTGGGGAAAAATTGGTTCATCTCCTCCCTTTTAAACATGGCCGATGGGGTGTTGGTATGAGGTGTGCTTGACGTGGCTACCTCCCCATTTTGCCACTTGCTAAAATCTCAAGCACTTAATGATTGACTAAGCACCTTCTTAGGCTTACAAGTGACTTAAATTGATTGGTGGAAACCTATTTCCTTTAGCTTAAGGAGGCTCACGGTATTAACTTAAATTTTGGGAAAATATTCTTAACACATCACGGCTTAGACTAAACTTAGGGCTAATCTCACGGCATTGAACCCTAGTATGGTGATTAATTGGAATTAATCACTTAATTTATGTTTAATTACTTAATTAAACATAATGCTTAATTACCAAAATTATTTCGAACGTAAACGGTACGTCGAAAATAAATTTCGGTAATCTCGACTGAACATAATTAATTCCGAAAATAATAAACGATAACGTTATTATATCGGAACTGAAACGTAATTTATACCGATAAAATATCGGGATATTACACAGCGCCCGTCCGTCTGTTCGCGTGAGCCGACCACATCTTCCTGCGAGCGCCGTTTCACCGCCGCGATCTGACCGAACCGCTGCAACCCCGACGATCGAAACGATTCGAGTTTGATTCTGTGATTCGTTCAACAACTCGATTAGAATCGAGAAAAGGCCAAATCTATCAGCCCATCGGATTGTGGTGTTCAGACGAACTTCACCAACGGAATTCAGAAACGTGAGTCGGCTAAAAATTTTAAAAGGTAATGTCCAGATCCTAACTATAGATTCCGCTGTGTTAGGATTTATTTCGATAAGATCAATATTGTGCATGTTGTTGATATTCCTAATAGTACCAACACCAGGCAGTTTGGTTCGGCCCAGAACACACCCAACTCATTCCAGTTGGTCCAAAACGCGACCATTAATCCCAGACCGGGTCCGAGAGCGGTCCAGCAGGTTCAAAGAGTACTAATAAGCTCACGGTGAGTCCAGGACGATCCAACGGTGATGGCAAATCTAGCCTGGCTACCGAACGGACATGAGACTCAGACGATCTCCAACAATAGAAATCAGAAACGTCTTAGAGTCCAAAATAGTAAACGATATGCTTTTAACCCTCGTTTCTAGTTCCGCTGTGCATAGGGTTTAATTCGTAGATAGTCCGTGACTTGCATAATTTTGAAATCCTAACCGGTCCCGACACTTCTGTTGTGAGTATTGCATTTCATTTGATCGTGAATGTGAGCTTATTTATCGATCAATTTTTTGTGCACCTGTTTGCACTTATTTTGGTAATTTTTAAAATGTGGACTTACATGAATATAATATTATTACATGATTTGATATTTTCTTTTTTTTTTTTTCGATTTTGGAGAAAGTCATATCATATCCCAAGAATATCTTAAGACTTGATTTATTTATTTATTTATTTTTTTATGGTTATAAAACCTATTCTAATAATATTATGTCTTCATCTCTTTAAATATATGATTTTAAAAAATGGTTTGAGGTTTTAAAAAAATGTTTATGTTCTAACTTTTTTAATCCGATGTTAAGACTAACTATTTCGGATGTTTAACAATTGTAAAATTATTGGGATTTTTGAATCTAACAATATATTGGAAGATTCTTTTTTTTTTCATAAATCTATGTCATGGATTAATGGTAATTGAAAATTCCAATGTTAATTTTGGATATACTCAATTTTCTTTAAATGTATATAATAAAAAGGAAGTTTGGATTATAAGATTCCTATAGTTTATCTTCTTATCTATAAATATATAATTTGGAGCAAAACCATTTAATTTTATTATAAGTAGCATTAAATTATATTATTTCATTTTCCCGCCTAAAGCAGTTACAAAACACCACATTTAATATGTATTTTTTTGGCTTTTTTTTTGTAATCAACTTTACAGAATGTAACTTTTTCTTTGATTTTTTTAAAAAAATCTCTATTTGTAATGGAAAGGTGTGACCATCATTCATAAATTATTATTTTAAGTTTTTTGTTTTTTTTTGTTCTCTAATCATCTCAATCTGTAACAGATATGTCTGGCATAAACAGATTTGAAAACCAGGACAATTTTGTTGTTAGATCTCCTTTGTGTTTGAAATTTTTGGGTTTAATTCTTTTTTTTGGGTATTGAACTGAAAATCTCACTGGTGAAACATGATTTGGCATGTTTATCAGCGAGAATTTTGCAAGAATTCTGAAAGTTTGAGTTTGTAGAGAGAAAAAGAATAGATGGTCAACAGATGAGAATGAGTGAAATGACATAGAATTTTCAGTGTTCCTCTTTTCGGTCACGGTTTTGTAAACCATTAAAGTAAAAATGAGCTTTCATCAATAATGGGCCTAAGAATATTGATTTGTCTATTGGCCCAATAGCGATTACATGATTTTTTTTTGTTAAAAAAAATGTGTATTGGGTTCGATATGAAAATTATTTTTTCGAGACTTTACCAAATCGGGCTCATTAAACAAATAGTCTTGCTGAGAATATTGGCCAAAGTCACCTTTACAGTTTTAATTTTTTTATAAAAATTAAGCTCAATTCACCACATTTTTTTAATATGTTATCCAGCTCAATTCAACAGTTGTTTATAAAGCGATTATTTGTTCAGTAGATAATTTTGACCCAAATTTTTATATTCGATGACAACTATAACAATTCGATACACATTTTATTATTACATATTTGTTTGAGGGTACCGTTCAAGTTTTAGCAGAGACCATTTTCTATCATGGTCGCCTATGCTATGACGATCAACGAGAGTCAAGACCAGTTTCTCTCACACGTCGGCTTAGTCTTGACGAACCATGTTTTCAGTCATGGACAATTGTACATTGCTCTTTCTAGAGTCACGAGTCGGAAGGATTTGAAGATAACGATAATGTGCTGATGGTGATTCAGATATGAAACCATGAATGTTGTATACAAAGAAGCGTTTAGTAATATTTAGAATCATTTTCTTAATTCATATTTTTATGAATTAAATTATGATTATGTATTTTATATTGTTTTTTTCTACCTATTCTCCTCCGTGCAAATGCACGGGATGAGAACTAGTTTCTTGGTTAATCCAATTTGATTTTTTTTAATGTTTGGATTGTCATATATAACTGCTTTCTATGGTTCAAAATTCAGAGTTCAAAATCAACCCAGAAGGAGAAATTTTCCAAGGAGGTAGGACAGGTTAGATTTTCTGTCAGTGCCTTACACTCTGAGAGGGTTGGGATGAGCTTTGGTGGAGTAGCTGAAAAAAATGGACAAGAACTCTTTACTTGGTCTTGCATTAAAGCAGATAAAGAAGATTACAAAATGGGGATGCTACAGGGAATAAGATCAATTCTGCAGAATCTTAGAGCTTCAAGAGAACATCATATGGTCTGTTACTTACCAGACTTGCAGATGGTCAAGATTCTGAGAAAGGAACTGATTTGTGAGACCAAGTTAAAGAGCATTTGCTTTGATATATGGTGGTTATGTGAAAATGGGGGAAATTGTGTATTTGTTTTTGATCCAGGTGAATGTAGTAATAGTTGTATTGTAGCTTCTTTGGCGATTAACGGACAGTGATGTTACTGATCCGGTTATTCCTTAACTTGCTTCTCAAGTTATGTGTTTTGGGGTCAGGGGAGTCCGCGATTGTAAGAACATCTTTGAGTTTTTTATAATATTTGGTTGATTTTGGAAAAAAAAAAGATAGTGCTTTTGTATATACTCATTTTTCAAAACAAGATTATAAAAAAGAAGGTTAGATTTTAATAATATAACTTATTTTCGGTTGCTGAGATTTGAGGTTTCCAACAACATTATGAAATATATTCATTTTTTTATTCTAGATAATAAGAAATGTAACAATTTTGATTTAATTCCGATTTTGAAGATTTTTAAACAAATTTCAAATATTATATATTTATCTCTGAAAATATAGGATATTTCGATTGTAACAATGCATTGATTGATCATTTATGAGATTTTTTTTTTTAATTTAGAAAATTATATGTAATGTTACTGTAATCATTTTTGTAATGCGTTTTTTTAGTATTAATATGTAATTTGTATTCATATTGTTTGAATTTATGAAGCTCATGTTATTATACATAAACATATTTTTATTATTTGAGCAACAAAAATTTATATAAAATTAACAAACGTATATATTACAATCTATTTGAAATAGAAATAAAATAAATAAAATATATTTGATATATAGTAAAATTTAGGGTGAAAAAATGGAAATGAAACTTGAATTTTGACTTATAGAAGCACTAGTTGCTCGAAATCTAGTATTTGACCATGTGCATTTGCATAATTTTTTGTTTCATATAGTAATTAATTTTTATTCTTTCACATTTTTGCTAGCGAGCTGGATTGGAAGACCCCGCTCTCCGCTTCCACCTTCGAGTAGAGCCCCGGCTTAGAGATGTTTCTCCAGTGCCATAATTTTCACAGAACTGGCGCTCCATCT